ATAATTAATGAATTAGTTTTAAAAAGTACACTTTTAAAAAATCTCCTTTTATATTAAATTGGAATTTTTAGATTATACTTAGCTCTACAACACAATATTTTCGATTGATACAAAATATATATTTTAATGATTATTTATTTATTAAAAAGAATAATGCTTTAACTTCTTATACCTTCCAACTACTACTTATCCATTTTAAAAAAATCTAAATTATTTTAATTTAAGATTTTAATTTTTATCTACAAACAAATTGTGAGATTAATTATTTTTAAAACAATATCAAATTATCTATGGCTAACTTTTTTCAAATATTTCAAATAAATCATTCACGAAGAGCCTATTTAAAATAAAATAAATTCTGAAACTTTCAAAAAACGGGCCGCTTGATGAATGTTTCCCGGGCCTGTTCATCTAGCCAGTCCGCCTCTGGCAGGGACTAACTCATACAGCGTTTCATGAGGCGAAAAACAAAATGAAGAACCACAACTGGGAGCGAGGGAATTCAGTTATGCGTTACACAAGGGGGTAATGATATTGAGCAGTTACACTGTCATTACGCTTTTATTGAAATAAACCACATTTTTTTCTAAGCCCTCTAGTCGCAACAATGTAATTTACTCTTTAGCAACTATCCATACGACCTGGTCAAACCTCCATATTTCAAGCACACTAAACTTGGGCATTCGGGAAAAGTGAATAGAATCATTTTCGTTTAATATTAGTCATAGAATTCATATACGAGGTATCTCGGATACCTCAGCGGCCACCCTGCATATTTCTAGGAAAGTTTTTAACACAAAATCAATATATAGGTACCAATATATAGGGTGTATTACATAGCATGTAAATACTTGGTTAAATTTAATGACATATAATATAAAAAGCGTGTTCAAAATGAATGAAAATATATGCATTACTTCCAAGGTCGTTAAAATGAGTAGGTTGTCTGCAAACTACTAATCCCTTCGCACCACTTCGGCCTATAAATGATGAATGACGTCATTGGTATTATAAATCGAATAACGTCAATAATTATGTTTGCTAATAAATTTACAAAATTTCAGTTTTCATCTATATTTTTGGAGTTTCCCTGTGTCGTGTGTCATAGAAATTGTTGTCATTGAGTTTTTTTTCTACTGTTAAGTACTATTGAGTTGAGTTCATAAACTTTTATCTAAAACTATACAATTTGTAATTTTGGAAGCCCAATATTTGTCGTGTGAATTCTTATAAAATTAACGTAAAGTGGGAATGAGAAACTGGCAAATCTATTAGTTTTAACAGGTCTTCAAAAGATCCTCAGTTAAGAAAGAGTGAATTGGATATAGTATTTAGCGAAAATACGTTTTTAATCCTGCTACAAAAAAATTTGCAGTAAGCTTTTTTATAAAAAGATTTATGAGATATAAGCCGTACAATAATAATTAACCAGCTTCAGATGAATTAAAATCATTTTGCCGTGTTCCACATATACCTACTTATTAAACCAGATATATCGTTTCAGAAATTTTCTTCTCATTCTGAAATCAAAAGAGCCAGAGAAGAATAAATACTGGTGGTAAAGGAACTTTTTGAGTCGATTATTGCCTTCAAATAGACAGCTATACCTATATACCTATGACTATCAAAAATTCCTGCAACAAGTACAAGAATATTGGAGAGATATAGAAAATGAAAAACCGTAACTGACTTTGAGTTATACCTACTAGTTATTATTTGTTATAATACGTTTCGAAACGTTAACAACTTTTTAAAATGCGCGATATAAAATGATGTTTTTGTATTTTGTATGTCGGCTTTTTTCAGTGTGAAATTTTCATAAAAATATCCCGGACCATTTCTTTTGGCGCAAGGGTTTATTTTACTATTTTTTAAATGTGTTCACAGATGGCAAAGTACCTACACAAAAAAATAAAGAAAAAAAAAACGAAAACTATGCCACAAATAAATAAATTCAGACAATATTATAGTTATAATTTAGTCGCATCTGAACCGACATTATGACTCATTATTTTTAAGCAGAATCGAAAACGCATAGTTCACCTAATTACTTAATTACATCCTTTTACATATTCCAAACTCTGAAAATGTTGTAACTAATATTTAAAAATATCTACTTACGTAGAAATGATTAAAATTATGAATAATTTAAATTACTAATAGTGTGTTGAATGGTGGAAATCAAACCGATGACGTATTCCCGCCTCAGACATGCTGTAACGCCATTGGACAGTTCAAGATCAAAGTTTGTGGGCAACCTACTCATTCTGGAGACCTTGGATTATTTCAAGTTGCAAGAAGCAATGAAAGGTAGACATACAGGAACGGATACAGAGATGAACTTTGGGGAAGGCGTTTGTAGTTAATGTCTCAAAAAAAAGTTATATGCAATCATGAAAATTTTTAATCTTTATTCATTTATTTTACTAAAAGAAAGGTTATGCAGTCAAGAAAACTGAGACGCTTTTAAACAGAAAAATTTTGATCTTTATTAATTTATTCTGTTTGATCTCTGATTTGGTCGCTTCAGAGTAAATTTTAGATGGTTTTATAATATTGTGGTTGATACTTTTTGCACTAAAAAAAAAAATTTCGGACCATTTGGGGATCCGCGCCTGTAGACATGTAAACAGTGCTTTCATTCTTACAGTGTGATTAGGTAGGTACTTGAGTAATTTTTATTTCAAAAATAATATAATTTAATGTTTTGACAATTACCATGGTCTAGACATTAGGGTCGCTCAAAAAAAAAAACGAATATTTTTTCGTGTCTCTTGTGAAAATATGTTAATCATCCCTCAAAAAATCAGCCCAAAAAAATATTTTTAAATTTCAATTTTTTTTAAAAATTTTTTTCTCGTTATTTTATCATTTTCTAGGTTGAAAAAAATCTCGATTCTGAAAATTTCTAAAGGTCACTCATAATTATTTTAACTTTAAAAGTAGTGTACCTAAAATGTTTTCGAGCGACCTCTAAAAATAAATATCAACGAACTAATAATTTTTTTATTGAATTTGATGAAAAGAATAGAAATAAATCACGACACTTAAAAAATTTCTCGAGTCAAAATTTACTACCGCACTGCGAGTATCAAATATTTATAATTTTTTAAAATTTAAGTTAAATTTTTTTTTGAGCGGATTTTTTGAGGGGGCTCTTAAAACATGATAAACAAACATATTTCATAAGACACAAAAAAAAATATTCATTTTTTTTGGGCCACCCTACTAGACATGGTCCAACATTTTATATTTTCAAAACTAGTGTATTACCTATACCAATAACATGCATTTTTTATTATTTAAATAATTAAGAAAAAAATTGGGTTGCCAGCCAAATTTTGTGTTTGGCAAGTGTCTCATCAATTGAAATTTAAAAGTGGATGTTAGTTGATTGAAATCATTTATTGTTTTATCACAATTTTTTTTTTTTTTTCAAAAAATCCAAGAATTTTTGGTCACTGGTCCACAATTAAAATTTAGCCATTAATTTTAATTACATTCTTTTAGATAACACAAGACATAAAATACATATTTCATTTGCATTTTAAACAAGTTCAATGTGCAGACTAAAACTTTTAATTTGCACTATTTTTTTTAAATAAAATTATATATCGTTTGTATTAATAAAACTTATTTGTCAACACTATTTCCAACATTTATTTTTTTTAATTAAAAGTCAGGATAAATAAGTATTAAGAACCTTTATTACGCATTACTAGTAAATTAACTAATTACATATTTAAATAAAACTTTTTCTTTGATCAGTAAATAGTGGGATAACTTTTAGAAATAAGTTGGTCAATTTAGATGTTATAAGACAATGTATTATGTTAAAGATTAGGTACTGCAGTAAACAAATATAATAAATGCTATATACGAGTGGGGTAAACATTAATTGAATAAAAAAAATTAGATCTATAGACGTAAATTTATTGGAAGATATTTGATAAAAAAAAGTATTAAAACAAACATATTTTAATACGGTTTATTTTGATGCAGATCCAAAGTAGAAACATTATAAATGCAGACACTAATCCTAATGGCATGTTAATTCGCCAATGAAATAATAGATCACAAATTCTATGGGAACATTTTTACGATACACCAACATCTAAAGTTGGAATGGTAAGGAATTTAGCAAATGCACTGAATAAAACATTTATCGAGAAAGTAGGTATTTCAAAAAGGATGTATCGTATAACTTATATGTATACGTGTCAAATATAAATTTACAATTGACCACAATCAGTAACTTCAATTTTCTTTGATGTTTTGCCTGATTGAGATCCGAGGGCTTCAATTTTCTTAACTACATCCATGCCTTCGACAACAGATCCAAATACTACATGCCTGTTGTCTAGCCACGAAGTTTTTACGGTGGTGATGAAAAATTGGGATCCGTTGGTGTCTGGGCCAGCGTTAGCCATGGACATGATTCCAGGACCGGTGTGCTTTAGGGTAAAGTTTTCATCGGCGAATTTATTTCCATAGATGGATTTCCCACCTGTACCATTATGGTTGGTGAAGTCCCCTCCCTGGCACATGAAGTTAGGGATGACACGGTGGAAGGTAGATCCTTTATATCCAAAACCTTTGTCCCCTGTACATAACGCTCGGAAATTTTCCGCTGTTTTTGGAACTACATCACTTCGAAGCTGTAAAAAGAATAAACATAAGTAATAACAAAGCAAATTATTAAATCATAATTTATACACTACTAATATTAATTTGCATAAAATAATATCACATTAACATCGAAAGTAATAATTATAGTATGCTTCATATAGCTATAATTTCTGTATATTTATTAAAAAGTGATATATTTGCTTCACATAAATTATATACCTACACTATAAACTATAACGTATTAAAAAATTCCTGGTACATTTCATTATATTTCATCATATTCATATTCAATTTATAGATACTGTGGTGTTCACTCTTGACAAGGGTCAATACAATTTATTTTCTTAACTAATCATTATGCATATGATGAAAGTTTAACTGATTTTTTATTTTAAATTTGAATACCTATTTCTGAAGCTTAAATTATGGTAAAAATAAAAAATAGGTATGATGTAGAACAAATTTCATGTGTAATAAACTGCTTTTTTTTTCTCATTAGTGCATATTTTCTGCATTTAAAGTGTTCCCGGACGCGAGAGAGATGGAATGTAGGTGTTAATTTAGATTTCAGATCCGTTTTTTCTGTATCAACTTAATTCAGTGAGTAGATTGGACATAAGAACATATTTACTGCTTTGTTATTAGGTTTTATAAAAGACTTACAGATAAGACGTTTTTTTAAATATTGATAAATTATCGAGGTATTCAAATATTCCGTGAAGTTAAGAAATTTATAATACAGTTCCTAAATATAAAATACCTACTTCAGGTGATTCATTTATGAATAATAAAAGTACATCCCACGACATAGTATCCTATCCTGTTAATAACATATTTGGAGGGGGCTGGACGCCATAAAACACGCCTAATGTCCCCGATTTATTTGAGCACTATTAATTGTAAAAGAATTATGAAAAACTTTAATCCCTATATGTTAACAAGAAAACTTGTGTACTATGTTGTAATGAGCAATGTATTTTACGCTATTAACTTTCAATCAACCGGCATCAATAATGACTTGCAAAGGAGCATGGTGGATAGCGACTCCATTTCAATTCACCGGTTAAATTTAGCTTGTAGGTAACTTAGAAATCGTTTTAAAACTTACCTCGATAACAATTCTTCCAACAGGCTGATTGTCAGCAGACATATCAAAAAACACTCTTGGGAGACCCATTTTATTGGAAAATCTTCTTATAAAAGATGTATTCGTACTAAACTTAGTGAACTGCGAACTTGCACACCTACCGACGAATGCGCTATGGAATGCAAGGCAACCGGCTTGACGACTAAAGACGAAGAGGGCCATTTTTAACGGAAGTTACTACATTAATCAAAAGAGAACTAATCCCGTTTATTATAGAAAAGATTATGATATGATGAACGTATTAAAATTCACTGAATATAATATCAAGTAATCGTAAATAAGAAAATTACAACATTTGTAGATATATCTCCAAATAATCTCACTACATGTCAAACTTTGCGTATTCGCGTTGTCGGTGCTTAGTTCATAACAGGAACTAGAACCTTTTGGAGGGGGAAGAGCGGGCCCATCGTTGAACTTGACCGAATTCAAATTTATTTAAGCATATTTATTACATAAAATAATTAAGTTACTTATATTTTGTAGCATTAAATTGATATATTTAATATCATTAGCTATAACAAGTATTACGAAAGTGTTTTTAAGTAAACAGTTACTGAATTTCTCTTAGATTATTTAAATATATCAGATACCTACCTACTGAATTTTAAATTAACATTATTAACTATGAAATGTACCTATAAGCTATAATGGCTGAAGTTAGTACCACAAGGTCAATGACAGCGGCGTTACAGTGGTTTTATAAAGGACAGTGTGGCAGTCACAAAACATATATACCTACCTAGTACTGTGGCAGTCACAACACATTAATACAAAATACACTGGCAGTGTCACAGCAATTTGATTGGTGCCGTCATTTAATAGCAAGTGTCAAAAATGACGATTATATAATATTTTACATACCTATTATTTTGCTAGAAAATTTTTTGATATTATTTGTCAAAATAAAACCTATAAATTACCTTTTTCGCCGTAATTAACTACAAAATGAAATGTAATGAAGCGTCAGAAAATCGGTTAAATCTGATCTCATTATGTCAAAGCAACGATCTCCTTGACTACCACTTCGGCATTTATTGTCGCCACTGCCACTCTTATTTACCGTATAGTCGTAACGACAGTTTAGTGATCTTCATCTTCATCTTCATTTAGTGGTTGGTCCTAATAAGTCCCATAGCACTGCGGCCTAATTAGGCCTATTGTGCGTCTCACTATTAGTCCTATTCAGCAAGTAGATTTGTCCTTTTTACAAAGTCCAAAAACTTCCTTGCTGACACTTCTTTCAGTTCCTTGTGTTCCAAATAGGGTCTCCCAAGGAGCGCCATTCTGCTACGTGCAAATCCCGGGCACTCGCCCAGGATATGCAGAGAATTTTCATCCGCCGATTCACATCCTCGGCAGATCGGTCTGTCTACAAGCTTTAGCTTATGTAGATGTTTCCTAAACTGACAGTGTCCCCCGTTATGAGTCCTGTCACTCTCCTGTGCCGGATTCTGTTCAAGCTCAGTAGATCATTCGCNGACAAATGATAAATTCTTTTAAATCGCGTACATATATCAAGACAACCTAATATTTTGTTATTTAAAACAATAATATTGTGGTATAAAATAAATTTGTAAGTCAATAATCAAAGGAAATATTTATTTCAATTAACTACATATTTAATTGTGGATATATGACACTTTTTTTATTTGTTTTAAATAATATTGTGTTGTATTAAACAATGTTTTCTCTGCGTGACGCACTATACAAAAAAATGTAAAGGTAAATTCAAATAAGTTAAACGTACGAACCGGAGTAAGTTTAATCTGGAAATTATCGGAAGATTGGTTTCCTGTGAATTAAAAAGTACCTACCTAGCAATTTCAGAACGAAGTTCTCGTGATAAGTGAATATATCGGAACCAATGAGAATCGCGGATCAAGATAGATCGCCTGGTGGTAACTTCGAGAACAAAATTTTGAAGAATGGTTCCAGAAAACAAGAAAACATTGGAAATCAGTCGGTGCGAGGCTCCTGGATTCAGCAGGCAGTTAAGAAATCGATGCGGAGTCTCTAGGTGTTAAGACTTGTTCTAGTGCAGGGTACTAAATGGTTTTTGGGCTGTTTGCAAAAGTGCGGGGGCTCGCGATTTTATATTTGAAAAAAATTGGGTTTGACCTCGAGTAAGCCATTTTCAGGTAATTAGAGGTGCTTAGAGTCTTATGGTTGTTGCACAATTTTTAAATTAGCTGTAGGAGACGATTTAGTGAATTACATTATATTCAGTATCCGGAAAGGAAAGGTTTTGATGAATAAGTTTAACTATTTAAATTATTTTGGTTGTTTTTTTTTAGATCGATAACGTTTGGCCGTTAGGCGAGAAGCATTATAAGTAAATTTTTAAAACTTATTTTAGAGAGAAAACTATATATACAGTGGAACCTAACGTAGCATATATAATCTTATTGTTTTTTTTTTCGCAAAGTAGACGTTTAGGTTATTAAATGTACTTTCTCTTATTTATTCCTCACTGAACTGTCTATCTACGCCACTGGTGCTGTGACACCTATTTTTATGTACAACCGGCGATTTATATAGAATCTTGACCGATGTTATACAAACAGAGATTTATAACCTTATGAATAAAATCGCATAGTACTTACTTTTAAGGATTGAATTTCTTAAATACATTTTAATTCAGAAGCATGTACCTACATGTACTATAAGAAATACTTGTGGTGGTTGTGAAATATTATTGAGTTCTATTAGTCAATTTTCATGGTAGAAAAGGATTAAACCAAGGAATTAGCAAAATTTAATGGAGCTTTCACTATTTGAACCCTTAAACTGACACTAAAATTCATGCACCTCTATTTAATATCAAAATTCTTTGCAATGTTTACAAGAAATTATTTATTACATTCAATATATGTACAGGGTGGCAGCCGAGATATCCGAGATCCTTCGTATATGAATTTTATGACTAATTTTAAGCAAAAATGATTCTTATTCACTTTTCCGGAATTCCCAACGGTTCTTGAAATATCGAGGTTTGAAGTTGCCAGATCGTATAGGTAGCTAAAGAGTAAATTACATTGTTGCGACTAGAGGTAAACTTGACTGTCCAAAGTAGGACGGCTGTGCAAAGCACTTCACGAGGAAACGGACTGGATTATTACCAACTGGTACAAGAACTTCTCCACGCGAGTCTTCCCCAAAGAGTTCGTCTTTGTGAATGGTGGAGCAATCATCTGATGGATACTCTTTCAAAAACCCTCTTCTATGAAGAAGCTACATTTACAACGATCATGTGTGGTTAATCTAAAACCCTCATGCTATTCGAGAAACCCATTTTCAGAGAATAAGTAATAATGAAGTTATCGGATTACAAATTAGAAGGACTATGTTCTTTTTACATGTTGGTACTCATCCCATTATTGAATAGGTGTCACTAATTTTCTCAATTAAAAGTATTCAATTTGATGGACAGGTCGTGGTGGTCTCATTGCTTGGCCACTGCGATCTCCGGATCTCAATCCGTTGGACTTTTTCATATTTGAACATTAAAGACACTTACCTATGCAATGGGAAAGCCTGATTGCAGGGACCAGAAGCGGATTGGCTATGCGGGAACTCGGGAGGTTTCCCGATGGGCCGCGGTCATTTTGGGCCGGTCCGCGCTGTAGAAGGATGAAATATATTTGAAATAAAAATTTAAAAAAAAATTTAAAAAAATATGAAAAAAAAATTGAAAAAAAGATTTGAAAAACAAAAATTGGAAAAAATTTTGAGCAATAAATTCGAAAAAAGTCAAGGAAAAAAATTTGGAAAGAAATGAAAAAAAAGTATATATTAACCTAGGGCAGTAAAATAAGAAATGTCGACTTCACCTTGGCCGACAATTACATGTGATCTGAGGCTTGAAAGCTTCAATTTTTAACAAACTGTGTGAGAAATTGGTTATATATGAACCAGAAATAACTCCTCAAAAACTAAGAGATGAATTAACAAGTTTAGCACACCAGTGGAAAAAACTTGTACAAACTCCATTGGACGAGTATGAAACACGTCAATGTGATGAAAGTGAAAGTGAAGAAATAGACTAGGCGGTATCTGTTTTGGTTTGGATGAATTGTATATCCACGGAGATTTTTGGCTTTTTGGCTTTCAAATATCACTAAAAATGAACATTTTTCTATGCGCATAAAAAAACGTGGGCT